CCCATCTTCTTACATACTTCTTAACAAGACAGGCCTTTTGTTGTTGTTGTTCAGTCGCACAGTCGAGTCCGACTCTTCGCGACCCCATGGACAAGATCTCGCCAGGCCTACCATAAGACTATAGCCTTTCCCTCTAGGATTATATGAAGAAAATGAAAAAGGAGGGGTGTCCATTTGCCCGTTCTCCCTAGACCAGTTCAGTTCTTGCCTACCATAGCTGCCCCCACAGACTCATTACTCTACTCCTTCATCTTTTAAACAATCTGGATGAATTGTCCAACATCACAAGCCAGCAATTTGTGGAGCCAGTACTGTACAAAAGGCAAGAACATCAAGAATACTCCCTAAATGGTGCAGCGTTGGCAGTTTGGAAACATTACTCTAGCAAATAACCCTTAGATGTTGTTGCTCAAAATTAGGACCCACTAAAAGTAAACATTGCAAGTACCTCTTGGTACATCAGTCAGGGGTAAATAATGAGCACAATCAAGCCAAAAGTCCTTACAGGTTTCATTGCTTAATTTATTTAAATGAGTGAGGCTTCAAACTGCTTTCCTATTTAGTTTTCAATTAGTCAAATTCAATTAGTTTTACATGTTAACTAATAACTAATTTTAATGTATTATATTGTTTTTACAGTTATGTATGTTGACAGTTTAGGAAAGGTAGGATTTTAAGAAAAAATCAAATTAGTAAATCTATGACTGGTTTGGGCCCAATCTATGCCCAAATTCTGATCTATTATTTCCCCAAATCTGAATATTTAAACAGACAAGCCAAAGTCCTCTGACTTAGAGGGTTATTTTCATCCATTGTAATACAGATTACCTTTTACTAATAGCAGCAGTAGTAATGTGAGCAGATGGTCAGTCTGGAAATCTGCCACCTTTCAGAAAGGGGATTACAAATGAGGCCCAGTCATCCCCTTAGGACCCTCACAGCTGAGCTTCTCTGATTCTGAAAGAATATATGCGGGAGTCTGGGTCAAGCTTTCCTGTACCTATTTCAGCAACTGAAGGTCTGCAGACTGTCTCAGCATTAGTCTATAATTTCATGCTGAAGGCTGAGAAGATTTCAAAAAACACCTCCCTCAGCCAATTGGGTCCCAGAAGAGCACCAAACAGAAGCATAGAATTTACTGGGATTAATTTTATTAATTGGCGTGGATTTTTATATGATTGTGTATGATCATGCATCTTTCCCCCTCACAAAAAATGTTTTGTATATTTAAGTGGTCATCCAGACCTCTACTGACTGATTTGAAATTTCAGCATCCAATTATATATGCAGACTCACTAGACTATATATCGTTTTCTTGTTAATAATTTAATAACATGAATTTAAAATTTAAAACATTGGCCAAATAGTGCCGTACTGGCACTTCAGATTGCCATAAATGCTGCTGTAGCTGAAAGGGAAAAAAAATCTCACCACCCTCTTCTCAATAGAGCAGATTAAAGATAGAGAAAAATGCAGTACATGCATATCAGAATCCCAGCCTGGATGGCCAGCTTCCTCTGCATATGGATTGTGAAAAATCACCAGTTCAGGAAGGAAGTAAATGATCACCCTAAAGATTCCTTGAATGGTTAGGTTGTCATGGATTTTTATCAGCTGTGTTTCATGCTGGTCTACAGCTAGAAACTCCTCCTTTCAGATTTCAAATTCTTTGCCTATTCCAAATTCTTTGTGGCTCAAAAATGGTGGTCACAGTCACAGAACAGACCGAAAAAAAGGAAGAAAGAAACTGTGAAGTAATTGCGCTAGAAAATATTTAAATAACAATCACAAAATTCTTATACAAAAATGTGTACAAAAATCTGCATATGTAAATGCACAAAGGCAGCTAAAATTGATGATGGTCTCTGGAATGTTCTACCGTTTCGATGCTATTCTTCTTCTGAATGTGGATAAAAGCCTTATGAAATAACATGCAATAACAATATTATGTGAAGAATCTCCGGTACATGTACATACAAAAATTGAATAAAAATATTTTTTCAAACCTTACATACAGCAATTCTTGGTCTGTTATTTCAACAGGTACGTATCAACAATTTCATTAATTTTCACCAATGTATCTATGAAATGTAACCATGAAATATAACACATCATCATAATCTGTGCAAAAATAGCCAAAATTAATTTATACAAACTCTAAAATAGCAATTGTTTTGTAATTCCCGTAAATTGGCAACCTTGTTTTGTAATTTCTGTGAGTTGACAACCTTGTATTGTAATTCTTGTAAGTTGGCAACCTTGTATTGCAATGTCTATAAATTGGCAACCTTGCATTGTATTCCTGCAAGCTGGCAACCTTATATTGTATTTCTATAAGTTGGCAACCTACTATTGTAATGAATCGGGGTAAGTCTTTGCAGCATCAGTATTCGTATTGAGATTAGTTAGCATAAAAGTTTTGTGAGAACATTTACCCAGCAAGGCATTATACAAGCACTTTGCCCTAGGAATGTTCTTTCAGAGAGTCTCTTGCAACTATGTTATGGTGAGTGTATACCCTTGATATTCTAGAGTTTGTATAAATTAATTGTGGCTATTTTTGCACGGATTATGATGATGTGTTATATTGTTACATTTCATAGATACATCGGTGAAAATTAATGAAATTGTTGATACGTACCTGTTGAAATAACAGATCAAGACTCGCTGTATGTAAGGTTTGAAAAAATATTTTTATTCAATTTTTGTATGTACATGTACCGTAAATTCTTCACATAATATTGTTATTGCGTGGTATTTCATAAGGCTTTTATCCACATTCGGAAGAAGAATAGTATCAAAACGGTAGAACATTCTGGAGATCATTGTCAATTTCACCAATTTCAGCTGCATTTGTGAATTTACATATGCAGATTTTTGTACACATTTCTATATAAGAATTCTATTCCAAATTCTTTGCCAGAATCCAAAAGGGATAGTGCAATGTATATAAAGGAAATAAATAGCTAATTTGTGTGTGTATACAAAAATGACAGCCAGAAAGTGTGCAGAAAACTCCCATGGAGATGCGCCATCACCAATGCACATGCCTCTGCATTTGCAGTGGCAATGAAAGCAACATGGAGAATTCTAAGCACGTGCAAGCAGCCAGGGTTAAAGGTGGTTTGAAAGAGAAAATTACTGCTTGTGGTCTGTATCACCCTTCCCACCTTCACCTAAAAACAAAAATAGAAAACCTTGTTTGACCAGAGGCCAAAAGAAATGTGTTTAGGAAAGAACACCTCTCTCTAATCATGTCAACTCTCTTTGAAAAGTGTTGCCAACCAGATATTGCAATTCAAGGATACACTGGAGCTTTTTGCATATTTTCAGCACAGAACTGCATGGGGGTTATATACATGCCATTCTTATTGTGATCAGGTTTACAGTAGTTAGACAGGACCTTTGTCTCAGAAAAAAACTGACATTTTCCCTTTGTCTGCGGGTTCCAAGTGTAAATTGCTCACTCAGGTTCCCAAAGCTCAATAGGTCCTGCTGTTAGGGTAGCATTCGTTAAAGACACTTTATTGAGAACAGAACACCCCCATTTATACCACAAAAGCAATTAGAAGCTAATTAATGCCACATCACAAAGAAGGATGTGACTGTTATTATGATCCATTAATGGAAGCTATACTGCATAGCAGCTTCCAAACATGTGTGTTTGTGGTAAAATAGCCACGTGTGATTTTTATACTGGGAACAAATTTTTCTTCCCCCATGTCTCAGAAAAACTTGATTAAGAAGCAACTTTCCCACTCTTACTCATTTCAAAATTGTACATCTATATCCTAGCTGCAACAGGAATGTAATATCAGGACTAGGTCTTAACTATGGCTTAGTCCTTGGTTCACCAATAACAGCAGGAATTGTATCGAAACCATTTGTGAGGGTGGGAATTCTTAGAACAGTGCACAGTATTTTAGTGTCTTACAGCCTTTGTAAGGAGGATCATTGCGTGTGTAAAATGCCGTCAAGTCGCAGCTGACTTATGGCAACCCAATAGGGGTTTCAAGGCAAGAGATGTTCAGAGGTGCTTTGCCATCGCCTGTCTCAGTGTAGCAACCCTGGACTCACTATGTGATCTCCCATCCAAGAGACTAACCAAGGCTGACCCTGGTTGGCTCTTGAGATCTGATGAGAAGAAGGAGGAGGAGGAGATTGGATTTATACCCCGCCCTTCACTACTCAAAGGAGTCTCAGAGCAGCTTACAAACTCCTTTCCCTTCCCCTCCCCACAACAGACCCCCTGTGAGGTAGGTGGGGCTGAGAGAGCTCTGACAGAAACTGCTGTTTTTCAAGAACAGCTGTGCCAGAACTATGGCTTGCCCAAGGTCACCCAGCAGGTACAAGTGGAAGAGTGGGGAATCAAACCGGGTTCTCCCAGATTAGAGTCTGCGCACTTAACCACTACACCAAACTGGCTCTCTCAGGGTATCTAACGAGATACCCTGGGCCATCCAGGTCAGAATGAGGACATATTGGATGGGTTAAAACATAAACAATTTGTTTGAGTTTGCTGTCTCTTTTTCTTACCTCTCTTGCCCCTTTCCTTTGCGCATTTTCCTCTCTCTCCTCTTTTCCTCCCCACAAAAGCCTCATAAGCAATGTGGCCCTGAGTATCACACTACAGAAGCTCCAAACACAAACAGGAGAATAATCTAAATGCAAGCATCTACAGCAACTGTACACATACATGGCTGCAACTGACAGAATGGGTTGTGTGGCAGCGGTTTATGATGGAAAGGAGCCATTCATTTCCTGGCATCTCGGGTTATATAGTAGGGCTGGAAAAGACCTTTGGCCTTGGTCCTGGAGGACTGCTGATCAGAACAAAGCAAAATGGGCTAGATGGATCAATCATCTAATTCAGTGTAAAGGAGCTTCAGAATCTCATATATAGAGTTTCAAAACATCTGCAAACCCCTGCTTCATCAGAGGCAACAGCAGGATAAAAAACATTTAAGAATACACACGTGGAGACAGAGGAAGTCTGACAAGCCTCTCAAAGGCAAAAATATATTTTTATTTTCATAACACATAATAATTTGATATTTTAAATCTTGATAAAGGTGGATGCATATCTCAGGCTTTGGGAATACGGATAAATTATAAATGGGATCCAGCCGTAATATGATTTCTTTTCAAACCCATATATATATATATATTGAAAAGTATACAGTGGTTCATTTAAACACAGCGACAAAGAGATATTATGTGGAGGCAATTGCGCTAAAAAAGTATAACCTTTTTTTTTTACAGGTCAAAACAGGGAAGTGCAAGAAGGGAAACAAAAGCCAGCTTTTGCATATTCCTCACCCCATCCCTTATAATCTAGGAAGTTCTTGGAAAAGATGGAGTAGATTTGGAATGGTGCTGTGGGTTTCCCCAGCATTAGCAGACTGTCTTCAGCAACTGGCCTGGCCAAGCCTCACTGGAGCCAACCACCTGCATGTAATTCACTGCACTTTCTGCTAAATGCTCTCTGTATATCTAGAAAGATACAGGTATATGCCAATACACGAACACAGAGATACATGTCATTTGCTGCATGACTTCCTGCAAAACATGAAATCAGAAATAAATAATGACAGTGGCACCTACTAATCAAAATGTAATTAGCCTAAGCCAAGGATCTTATGGCAGACAGGGCTAGAATTTTATAAAGCACGTTCAGCCCAACAGCCCAGGATCAGTAACAGCTAGAAACATGTAGCCAAAGTCTTTAAATACTTCAAAACCTTTTTTTAAAGCCACCCATTAAAGCACACACCCGTCCCTCAGTTCCTTAGGCTGGGTCAGCATATAGCCATATACATGTAAACAACTGGGTGGGGCAGACTGAAAAACAAAGAAGAAAGAAAAGGGGCAGCTCAGCCAAAAAATATATAAAGGGAAATCATTATAACAAAATACATAGTTCTTACTTCCCAGTTTTACACTCACAAAACTCCTATGAGACAGACTAGGCTGGGAGTGTGTAACTGCCCAATATCCCACAATATCCCACAACTTGGTTGTTCATTGAATGCACATCCAAGATGTAAGATTCAGAATGGAAAATAGTATGAGCACAGCCAGTGCACAGCCAATCTGTGGCACCATGTGGACAGCATGAGTTTATTGAGCTCAACAGAAAGCCACCAGGATCTTGATACTATTATGCTTGTGTAGATATTGCTCTTCCTCCATAACACCCTGGCTCATCTTGTGTTATCACCAATTATAATATTACATTTGCACAGATTTATGCTCCATCCTAGACATTTATTTGCCAGCTTAGCAACTCCTAGGATAAGTCATGAATTGATTTTTGTGTATTAGCTGAAGTAACCATAAAAGACCAGTTAAAATTAAAGGGTAGTACAGCTAGTGCCCCCATCCAAACCATTAAAAGTAATTATCTACCATGTGATATGCTTGATTCAGTCAATGTCTGTGTTCATTATTCCTCCACATCCTGTTCTTCCTCTTCTTCATCTTCTTCCATTTCTTCATCTGAATCATCCTCATTCTTCAGAGAATCACTAAATTCAAAGTTTCCTTCAATATCCAGCACTTGCAGATGCTTCAGTCTTTGGAATGTGCTTTCTTTTACTGCATTGAATGCAATCTTGTTAAACCTTGAAAACAAGAGGGATAATCATTAGCATTAGTTCCCAATCCTCTGCTTTAAAGTTATCATTGCAAGTATAATGAACTCATTTATATCACCATTCCTTTAGAGATCTAATAGACTGCAATCCAAGGTGACCATGAATTGGCCTTGTAAAATAACTCTGTACTAGTTAACATTTACATTTTTTTCTTATATTCCAATAGTAGTATATCAAATTCTCAACATGGCCCCATTTGTGGATACAAATCTGCAGATCAGGGTCATGCAGCAAAAGGGAGGGGGGGAAGAAGTCCTACAAACATGAAAGATCACCAAGTTTCCAGAAAAAATGTAAAAGTTTTTTTAAAATGGGGGAGTAACCCCCCCCCCCCAACAGAGAGGCATGGTTGGTGCTTGCAAAGACCATGAACTTCTGTTTGGCCCAACCTCTTCCATCGTCCTCGTGGTTGAGGCAGCAGATGTATGGCAATATCTCACAGACACAAGCAGGCAGGAGGAGGAGAAGCAGGATCGGTCATATACCTTCCTACCCCACCGTTATGTTAGCCAGAGAGGTGGTGGTGATTCAGGCAGGATAGATGCAGGACCCTCAAATTCTGTTCCCCTCACTGCTGCATGACCCATGGTGGCAGCAGTGATATGGGTGTGGGAGGAGTGGGAGATCACACAGCCACCACCCCCACCACCATGTGAAATGTGGAGGTGGTGGCAAGGCAGGCAGCTGGGTGGGGGGAGGAGCAGGAGTCGGTGATTGGGTGGACCAGCAAGCCAGCAGAAGAAGGATGGGATTCCCTCCCTCCATGAGCCTCATGGGTTCCCTACCTGTCAATATATCTATTTCTCTACATGCCCCCATCTGTGGATACTTGAAATCCAGAGACTGAGGCTATGGACAGACAAGACATATCCTCCTACAAACTTGAGAGAGGTTTGCAGAAAAAAATCTGAAATCTGGAAAAAAATATTAGTGGTGTAGCCCCCCCCCCCCAATATTATAAGCAATGCCTGTACCTTTAGGAAATGAATGTCCTCTGGGAATTCAGGGTTGATAGCCCCCAGCCCCATTTCCTACCATTGATCAGAACTAGACAACCACAATATTGCTAGCTTTCAAATCTTGGTTTCTGTTAGTAAAAGCCAGAGGGAAGAGCCTTTTCCAGGGCTATTTTGGCTTTACAGTCTACACCTGGGCCCCCTGCCCTGGAAGGAACACTCCTAGAAGTGAGGGGAAGCACAACAGCAACCACCAGAAAACTTCCTACCCAGCAATTTGCACAATTCACCCAGGTGTGGCACTGGCTACCCAATGACGTAATGCCACATAGGTCACCTGGGCCTAGCAGCAGCCTCCACACAACTCATACAACTTGGCTGGGCCTGGCAGTAGGGTTGCCAGGTCCCCCTTGGCCACAGGCGGGGGATGGGGGAATAGGGTTGTTTGTCAGATCCAGGTTGGGAGACTCCTGGAGATTTGGCGATGGAGCCTGGGGAGGACAGGGACCATCGGGGGGTACAATGCTGCAGAGTCCACCCTCCAAAGCAGCCATTTTCTCCAGGGGAACTGACCTCTGTTGTCTGGAGATGAACTGTAATACTAGGGGATCCCCAGTTCCCACCTGAGGCTGGCATCCCTACCTGGCAGTAGCCACCACACAACTTTATTTATTTATTTAGTTAGTTAGTTCAATTTGTATCTCGCCCTCCCTGCCAAGGCACGCTCAGGGTGGCTTACAGTAAAATTTTTAAAAATACATTAAAACAGCAATGCATCAACTTGATGGCGAGAGAGACTGCCAGGGAGAGGCTGCCAGGAGAAGGGAAGGAGGGAAAGCTAAGAACCAGGGTGATGTGGTGGTTGGAATGTCAGATTAGGAACTGGGATAGTATTATGAACTGAGGACAAGGCAGCTCTTGAACAAGTGATTTCTTTTATTCAGCTCATAACTTAACACAGGACAACTTACACACAGAACAAGCTAACTTTATACATTTTGAATGGGGAGAACCACACTCCTAAGCAGATAACCAACCAGAGAAAGGCGCTCAGGACCAATAAGAATTGTTTCCACCTAAAGTCAATGTCTCTCCGGATTGGCCTACCAGCGGCATTGATCAATCTGGTCTCTTATTCTGGGATGCTGCACTTCTATGGAGCTGTACCTAAAGCTCATACCAAACAATGATAACTGAATACATAACACCCCTCCCCCCTAAGTTAGCACATGTAATTCTGCAATCTAGCGGGCCATGTCCTTACTCATTGAGAACGCCGTGGTTCCACTGCAGGTGGCTCAAACCCAGTGCTGGAACTGCTAGGCTGATTGCTCCTGGAATAGTCCGGACCTGGAGTGCTAGACATTCCCGGCTTGCTGGGCAGTGCTGGCGTTTGAAAGTTCTTGGGTCGTGTCGGAAGAGTTCTGTTGCCCTCTGCCAACAGGGGGCGCTGCTACCAGCTCCAACTGTGGGGTTGATTGGGGTGCATTGCAGTCAGTGCAGTCTTCACTTGGGTCATCTGGGTCCACTGTTTCTGTTTCTCGAACCCAACACCTCCGGAGCTGGTCAAGGTGCTGGCATAGGCTTTTCCCTTCGGCTGTAGACACCACATAGGAAACTGGTCCGGTGCTGGCAGTAACTGTGGCTTCCACCCACAGTGGACCCTTGCTGTATTTCCGGCCTTAGACAAGGTCACCCGGCCGGAAGAAACAGAGGGGTTCAGGCATCTCTCGCTGGGGTGGACAGTCTGGAGTGAGGTCCGGGTGCAGCCGGTCCAGCAGAGTAGTCAAGCGACTGCACCCAGTTGCTGTATGTGGCATTATATGTTGCTGCAAGAGGAAGTCAGCTAAATGATGATTCCAGTCCCCCTGGACTATTTTATTTAACGTGTCCTTTGTGGTGCAGACCATTCTTTTGGCCTGTCCATTTGTGGACGAATAAAACTGGGCCGCTGTGACGTGCCGGATCGTGCTTGCTTCCATAAAACTTTGGAACTCAGCCAAAGTAAATTGAGTTCCATTGTCGGATACTATAGTCACGGGCAGTCCATGCATGCTGAAAACACGTCGTAGCACTCGGATGACCGATGCTGAGGTCATTACTGACATGGTGACTACCCTCCAGCCCCTTAGAGAACAAGTCCACAATAATCAGGAACGTTTTCCCTTGAAAGGGTCCCGCAAAATCAATGTGCAACCGGGACCAGGGCACCCTGGTCGTTTCCCAGCATTGCACCAGTGCTTGCGGTGGCTCTGGACGTGACTCTTGGCAGGCCCGGCAGGTGCGGACCCATCCCTCAATGTCCTGGTCTAAATGTGGCCACCAAACAACTGCGGCCCAATGCCTTCATGCGCGCCACTCCTGGATGTCCTGTGTGCAGCGCTTCTAACACTCGATACCACCGTTTTGGGGGAACAACTTCCCCACAGGATTTCCCCACAGGAGGCAACCTTTGTGTGCCGACAGTTCATGTTGCCGTGTCTTGTATGCTGCGAACTCAGGGGCTTGCTGGTCTACTGGCCACCCCCTCCACAACCAGTTCAGGATGGTGGGGTCTTTGGCTGAGTGGGCGGCGACATCCGAGGCATGGAGAGGCGGTTGTGGCAACTCCTCGAGAGCCATAACTTCAGAGGCAGGAGCGGGGTTCATGGCCTGAGTCTGTAGAGGCAGGCGGCTGAGCGCATCGGCATGTCTGATGGCCTTACTCGGCCTGTGCTCAAGTTCATAATTGTAGGCAGACAGGAACACAGACCAACACAGCATTCTCGGAGACATGACCTGGGGCGTTTGACAATCTGGTGAGAATAGTCCCAATAACGGCTTGTGATCCGTGACAATCTGGAACTGTACACAAAATCTTGAATTTTTTTTACGCCCGCGACCAACTTGAGCGCCTCTTTATCAATTTGTGCATAGTTCTGTTCCGCAGGAGCCAGAGTCCTAGAAAAATAAGCGACAGGGGTTTCTCTCCTGTCCGGCAATCAATGACTCAGGACCACTCCAATTCTGTAGGGGGAAGCATCAGTGGCCAAAACAAGCGGCAGTCACTCATCGAAGTGTGCGCGAACGGATTTGGATGACAGTAAGTCCTTAACAGTGGCGAATGCTCAGACGTGATTCGGGCCCCAGTTCCACCGGGCCTTTCCCCCCAATAGTCGATGCAGAAGTTCTGCTGTGGACGCCTTATGTGGTAGGAATGCATGATAAAAATTGAGGAGGCCGAGGTTGTAGCTCCTTCTTGGAAGTAGGGGTGGATGGCCCGGACCTTGCTGTCTGTTGGATGGACCCCGTCTGTATCAATTAGGAAGTCTAAGAACTCAACTTTTGGCACCCCAATCTGGCATTTCTCTCTTTTTACCTTGAGCCCCGCTTCCTGGAACTGCTGCAGGACCTGCCAAAGGTGGCCAGCCAACTCATTGCTTGATTCTCCGGCAATCAAGACTTCATCAAAGTATGGAACAACGCTGGGGATGTTCTGCAGAAGGCCTTCCATAAGGCCTTGGAAAAGTCCCGGGGCCACGCTTATCCCGAATTGGAGACAGTTGACTTTGACATCTTGGACTTGGACAAACAGCATACACGGGCAATGTGTCCTGTTTTTCCACACTCCTGACACTGGACCTCACGGAAACAACACTTCATTATCACCCCCATAACTGACACAGTTTGATTGAGGAGGAGGCTGCTTATGGTAGTGTTCACAACTTTGCCCATGTCTCAAGACTGCTGTCATCATCGCTATCAGTGTCTTCCACACTCTCTTGGTGCACTGGTTGCGCTTTCTGGGACTCCGGTGGCGTTCTCAATTGTTGCACAACCCTGGTGGATCGCTCAGCAGCTTCAGCAGCGACAGCTTCTTCATATTCTGTTTGAAAGGTAAACTCTTTTTTTGCAAATAACCAGTGTTGTAGCTTTTTGTTTAGTAGGCCACATACCAGCCGGTCACGAAGCTGGTCACTTAGGTCAGTGAAGTTGCACTGTCTGGCTGTCTTGCAGAGTGCAGTCACGTAT